GGTGGGTTAGATTGTGTGTCTTTTTGGATTTTGGGGGCATTTTTCCTTGAGATTGATTGCTTTCAGCAGTTATTTTAGAGGTGAGTTCTGTTATGTAAATTTAAAACAATGAATGCACAAGGTACGTGTATACTCATGCGTGCCCCTGTTGAACAAAAGCACACATCCAAGATGGCTGCCAGGCAAATGGTCTATTGTCCTCTATAACAGCCTAGTTGTTGTTTTTTATTGTTTTTTATTTTATTTTTTTTAAACACAAATACAAAAGGCTGCATAACATTTGCTGGTAAAGCAGGCATTTTTTGGTAATCCCAATAAACCTTAACCTTGAACCCCCAGCCCCCCCCCCCCCCCCCCAAATATATTAAGAGGAAGGAATAGCACTATGTTCTTAGCTTTAGGGTACCCAGAACATTGCGGTATTGAAACTCCACTAAGATACCCCAGAGAATTTGTAGTGGGAAAAGGTACATGTACATGTATGATGCACATATTCACCAGTAATCACTTAAAGTTCAAGAGAGGTATGAACAACAACACTTAATGAACAATTTAGTAACTGTTCTGCCCAAAACCACCCGAACACTCTACGGGGGCTTCTATGCAACTGGATTCAAATTCAACGAATTGGCGTTTGAAAGCATAAATTTACATGACTGGTTGTTCAGATTGTAAACTGTTCCTGTATGACTACTGAATGTTGCATCAGTCCAACACTTGATGCTAAACGACCGGCCACATTACAACCTACATGTAAAGTGAATAGCGTGACCCCAGACATGATTAAAATTACAACCGTGACCGCTTTAAAAATCACACGACCTTAACGAACACATTGATCTTATAAAAAATGACAGACACAAAATATCGGCTAATTGTCACAAACAAGAATACACTCGGCGCTTCAAAACCTGCACACAAATCTGTCCAATTCTGCTTTTCAATCGTTAATAAAGGAAGCTTTCTACTGAATTTATAATACATCGTTTCAAGACAGAAAAAACGTTGCTTTACAAAAATCATCCGCCAACGCTCTCATAAAAAATTCACGTATCTAAAATAAAACATTCTGTAATATATTTACCGATATACAACCTTTTTTTTTTTTTGTAAACATCTTTCAATCCTCAACGTCAGGCACAATTTGAACACTTTTATTGTGGTTTTTTTACAATCTCATTCCTGTGGCCAATTTGGTGAAACTTCCGAACACACAAAACAAATTCTGACAAACACGACGAAAGAACTGCGTGCGATTCAAGTCTTGCGCAATGTTGTGAAGTTTCACAAAATGTGGCCGCAATGCTTCGGAAGCCCTCTTCGCGCAATCACTAAACACACATTTATGTGTTTTATTACTAATTATTTGCATTATTCTTTACAACGTACCACACATGGTACATGCACGATTCCTACACAATCTCACAGTTTTCCTACACCTTTCCCAAAGTATTTTCAAGGACTTTTCTTAAATTTTTTTCTTGATTCCTCCCAGAATCATAAGAAGCGCATCATTTTACCTTGGACTTTTCCAAACCATTTTTACAAACTTTCAAGAACTATCTTGAACATCTTCAACTTTCCAGGGGACACTCCCACAGTAAATATTGTATAAATCGCCATTTCTTGTTCCAAACTACGACAATGACAGAGCAACAGATATCTATTCTTCTGAATGTTGACATTCACTAACAGTTCACGTAAAAATCAGAAACATTTGGTACAGTTTCTTTTCTAAGTCAAAGTTCCACAGAGGTAAAAGTTCTGAACTTAGAAGTTAACGAGATGTTGATAGAACATCACTACTTCACATAGCATTAAATATTCACTGATTTTGAGGACATGAATAATACAATTTCTGTATATATATACTGACTCAGAATTAAACAACATTATCAAGTAAACTCAAATTTAGATTTAGTAATACAATTTAGGCTCAGAAAAGAGAAATTTCTGTACACGAAATAAATTACATGACATTTGATACTCTTATTGGATACAATAAGCTGTGAATTTTAACTCATGAGTTTTAGAGACAACTTTGAAATTTTAAAGGAAGAGGGAGGATTTTAAATCTATAGTTTCTCTCACAATTGATGCTTTAAAATCCACGTGTTTAAAACACTCAGAATTTTAGTTTTCAATTTAATATTGGATTCATTATAACTCCCACAAAAATTCTGTATTTTCACCTCTGATATACAACACATCTGGAGTGGTCAGTTGCTTAAAAAAATAGACGTTTTTTAGCCCAAAAGCTTGCAGTCTAAACATACTTCTTGCAAGGCTCAAAAGACAAGATTGCACAACACAAATATTTTCAAATGAGTTAAACATTCTATGAAGCTATTCTTTCATTTCCTAGATTAGCCTGTTTGTTGTTTATAACGACTGTGGCTGGGATATTCATTCAGTTCTAACGAATAGGAAACAACCAGACCTACAATGTACATGTACTTTAAATGGACCGGTTCAAGGTCTTGGGTAAGGCTAGTTCATCAAATGAACATATTCTCTACAGCTTTGCGATTAGCACACAAAAGCCAGTAAGTAAGACTGTTCAATTCACTACACTACAGCAATGTTCCTTCAAAGGTAGAGTAGATCTTTGAAATTTTAGCTCTGTGAAGGCTGTTTATTCCGAGAAAAAGTATTCTTGGATCTCGATTTCAATTCAAAAGTTGCCGAGTCGTATTTTGAATTGCGCCTGAAACCAGCATCCAGGACACGTTCTCATTTAGCCAATTGCAACCGCGCGCATGTGTGCATCATGTCAACGCTTGCGCGCACCCATTCACGGATTTACAAACCAATTACTAACAGGAATTTCCAAAAATGTGTCACTTGACACATCTTTGGAAATGACCTTCTTTTATTGTTTTCTTCAAAATGACAGCATGCCAGAAGGAATAATTTCACAGGGAGTTTAGTGCCATTACTATCTTTAAACCAAGTAAGCTTTTTAACAAAATTCTGGTCAGTTACTTTTGGACAGCTGCAAATGATCTACCTTTAACTTTCAAGGTAGGATAAATCAAAGACCATTGCAGTCTGAATTCATGCATCAAGATACATTAAGAATGAGCAGACCTTTCAACAAACTTATTATTGCATTTCTCCTCTTCTTTTTTTAACGCATATTTGCCCTGAATGAGGCTAAATGCCACTAGGTACAGGGCTACAAGACAAATGAAAAGAGTAGGTACTCAAGAAAACTGAAGATACAATTCAACATTCCTGAATTTAGGAAGTACATTCAGTTTACGAGTTCCTCCACTGTCATTTTTTTCTCAATCAAGATTGTCTTAATTCAGGCATGCAACTGGGAAGTCACACAAAAAAGAGGAAATTGAAGTCTTTCCAAGACTTTGTACAGTGTTTTTCTATTTTGAATGGCTCACATGGGAAGTAAAAAAAAGAGGAAATCAGCTGATCTGAGAAAAAGTTGCATGCCTGTTAATTACATTTCAATGACATAAAAAAGAGTTTACTTTTAAGCCATGTTAGTCTACTTGTACAGTACATGCAATCTTTGGCTGGGTTTTGAAAAGCGTGACTTGTATTGCTGTGTACACCTGCATGTACATAGAATATTCATTGTTCCAAACCTTTAAAAAAATTCCCTTTTTTTTTAGTGTTTTGGAAAGGTCAACTTTTTTATTTCAGAAGTAACTGACTCAGAGTGGGATGCTTGGACAATAAAATGTCGTTGGCTTTCCGGTCAAAGCAGCTAAATATAGACAGTTTATTAGTCATCTGGTCTGCTTTTGTCTGTCATTTTTATCTTCGCATCACTGTATTTGGTGGCTGATCGAACCCAATTCCTTCTTTTTTTTTTAAATTAAAATTAAAATACATGTATAAACCATATTTTAGACCTGAAATGTCTGCCTTTAGCATTGTTTACATTAATTTATGAAAACCTTTATTTATTATTTTATAACCTTTTTCGCTACACAATCTTGATGTGCCAAATCAAAGACTTAAAATGATGTGTCTCCATGACAAATTTGGGATTTGTGGCTCTTAATGAAAATGACAATCTTCTGTTTGCTTAACGATTTGTCAGATTGACTACACACTCGCAGATGTTTTAAGTAAAATAACTTTTCCAACCTTCCAAAAGAAAATTCCTGAAATATTTACTTGCTTCATTGTGGGAAGTCAAGTTAATCTTGTACAAAGAATTACTGCACCTAAAAACCCTGGTATTCAAATCATAAGAAAAATGACGGCCAATGAAAAGTATAAGTATGGCAAGGTCAAACATTGTTAAAGCTGCTTACATTGTTCCATTTTAAAGTAATGGACATCTTCATTAATGACTATCACTAACTTTAAGTTACGTTGCTTCTCAAAAAAATATTTTCAAGATATTTATAAAGTTTTTTCTTACTTGAAGTTGCTCTCATGTAATATTTTTAGACTGCCATTTTTCTAGCAATAGACATTATTCACTTTTGAATGAGACATCCAACAAAAAAATCCATCAACTTTTTTAATGAAATAGTTAATTCACAAATTTCGAAATTAATTCAGGTGCCTCTTTTGGTATGTTATGGTCGCAAACGCATCCAAAAAATAAAAGCTCCTTTCAGAGATTAGCCTTTTCTGTTTTAATGTTATGTACAAATTGAAACTCTGCAGGATTTCAAGCAGACCCAGATCAAAATGTAGAACAGTAGGATCAACATTTTCAACAACAACAAAAACAGGACAAAACTAGGACTGTGGATGACAAAATCAGGAAAGACGTAGGACTTTTGTGGGTTTTCAGGAGTAGTTTTCATTGATACTCACCCACGTCCACAGCATCATAAGTCTCATTTGGCATGCTCTGTACTCACAACATTTGTGCTCCATCCTCAACTAAGCTCTTGGAAGTACAGTTGCAGTACTCCTGCACCCAAAACCCTTCCTGTGCCCAAGCCCTTCATTGTGTGATTTACATACGAGTGTGTAACACTGTCATGAAAAATATTCAATGAGATTTCATTTTTCGGAGTTGTGGGACAAAAAGTAGGAAAAAGTATGAATTTCAAGAAAAAAGTAGGAAAAGTAGGAATAGTTGAAAGCCTGAAGTTTGTCAAAAAGCACTGGAACTTTGATGGAGATTTGTATTAAGCATTTTAACTGCTATCAAAATTTGTTAATTGATTTTTCTCAACCCGTTGCTTGTCTTTGGCAGAATATCAGGCCGAAAACCCGAAACAGACAGAAAAATGTTAGAAGGTTCCACTTAAAAAAGAACAGGCTAATCTCTTTAAAAAAGGAAAAACGTTTATACACTCTTCAGCTGCATGCAGAAAACTATTGACTAAAATGTATCAGCTGCCTACTACTGCATATTTCTGTAAACATCTAAAAAAAAAAAAAATAAGTAACACGATGAGTTCACCAAGAATTTATCCAATACCAGCAAGTCTTCACAAGAATGACATCATTTTTTTGGGTGTAGTTCACATGGAAAATATTCATTTGAAAGGTCAAACATTCTGACAGAATTCAAACCCCTTTTTGGGTTTATGTCTCACGTTAGATTGGTCAATACAAAAACAAGAGATAAAAAAAAAAAATTGTATTTAATTTCTCTGATTTGATTGAAATGCATTTCATGCTTTTAAAAAAATGACTGCTTTTTCCTTCTCAGAATTTATCAATAATTAAAAACGGTGGGAAAAATTTTAAAAAGAGAAAATACAGGGAACTAAAATTAAAATTTGCCAGGCCTTCCCACAGAAGGTGCAATTTCATGTTTTACTAATGGCCATCCTACGCACAATTCTATTGAACCATTAAAATTCAACTTACAAAATATACATGTATCATAATGAATTTTTATGAAACGTTTTTGGTAGCATCGAAAAACTCAGCAAATTATTAGCTATAAACAGCCATTTTAAAATGGAATGTTTACGACATAGTAATATCCACAGATGTACAACTAGAAAATTCATTTCAGGATATTTTTCCTGAAAGTTACATTAAATGTCTAAGCAGGAAAAAAAAGGGGGACATTTTTATAATACCTTTTTATATATCAGATTTTGACAAAAAAATTAATTTAAGCCAGGCAGGAGCACACTGCATAAATGCACAGACAAAAAAATTCATCTTAAAAATTCAAATTTTTTGAAAGCATTATTTTACATCAGTAAGGAAAATACTACATACATGTACACCCCTGCACTTTTTTTTTATCTGAATGACTCAACATTTCGGTCGCTTTCAACTTGGCCAAATAAATCGACTCTTTGGTAAACATATCTCGTGAGGATGGCAATAACAGGGCGAAAAAATAAAACACACTATTGCAGTGCGCTGATCAAGTCATACACAAGCATACTATGGATTGACGCCTGTACATCTCAAAACGTGACCAGATGTGACCAAATCTTACAAAACACCTTTTTTTTTGTTTACAACTTCAAAAAAGAATATCTAAATATTTTAAAACTGAAATCCATTATCTCAGCGTCAGGCTTTGAAAAAATTTGAACTTTTGTGCAAGCCGCAAGTAAGGGCAAGCGTGTAACAATCAGAGCGTACGTGTATGCTTGCTTTGTTCAGATCTGGTCACAAATGCAACATTTCAGTATCAATACAAACCCGTTTTTCATTTTCATCATTTTTTTTTTCTTTTTGTATCTTGACAGTAATCCTGCATTACTCTCGTCTTGGCCGCCTCCTTAGACTGCCATAGTCCTCATACTCGCTGATAGAGCGTGGCCGCTTACTGACGTGTACCTGCGACTGAGCAGTCAGCTGTAGTTGGATGGCGGCCATGTTGAGTTTCCCCGAGCTGGTCAGGATCTCCCTCAGCGCCAACATCTTGGCACTGTACAGCATAATGTGAGCCACAGGTGGCCGGCAGACCGGCAAACCCAAACTGTCGCTGCTAGAGTTCAGACTGTCCGGATCGTCTTCCAATTCCTTGCCTTCCTCGTCTTCCGACATCTGCGATTTCCACCGCCGGCTGAAGGCCATCTCTGCGGGACTCTCAGCCTTCATGACCGACTCCATGGTCATGCCGGGGAAAGCGCTGCCGTTGCTCCTCGTGCTCAAGAAGTCGTTGAAGTCCGTCTCCGAGTTCAGCATGGTGTCGCTGCAAGACGCATCCACAAACGGTGTGGCAGCACTCGCCGTGTCTACGCCCTTGGCGTCAGTTCTTCCCTGGCCATCTGTGCCCAAGGACAGTCCAGTCTTCTTTTGTCTGCTGCCTTTGACGACGATATTCTGGTTGAAGTCCTCCCTTTTCTTAACACCAGCTTCTTCTTCTTTGGCCTCTTTCTTGACTTCCGTCTCTTCCTCCTTGACTTCATTCTTGGCCTCCCTCCCATCCTCATCGTTTCCGTTTTCCCCCTGCCCTTCCTCCTCCAAGTGAAACCTACAAGACCTACCTGATTCCACTTCAACCAATTCCCGGATGTCGGCTGAGAATCGGGTCAATGAGGCAATGAAGCGCTTGGCCCAGGTGATGTGTAGGACCGGAGTGGTGCTTCCCTCCTCCCACAGACAGATGCCATCGTAGAAACGCAGAAAGTCGCCGTAGCATTCGGGATCATTGATGACTTTCATAGGTGCCTCGGCACCGCCAGCAGAGCCAGTCTTGACGATGTAAGGAATCAAATCATTGGCAATCTCCATGAACTCTTTGTAGACTTCCTCATCCTCCCTGTTGTAGTTATACCTAGGAAAGAAAAGGGAACATGGTGCATTTTCAATACAGAATGAACTTACAAACACAAGAACTGTTGGTGACTTCACAATGGGGTCTTCGTGCTTTTTCTCGACACCTAGCCTCTCCTGCTCTAGCCAGTCTCCTACTGGTACTTTTCTGCTGAAATTACACATTTTCAAGACACAACCATCTCAAAACCTTCTCATCTCTCTTTGAGCAGATTCTGAATCAAAAAATATAAATCCCCTAAGTTACCTTCACCGCACAGAAAAACAAAATTGCAGTCATGTACAGTAGCTGAACACATCTTGATTTAGTATTTTTTTGCTGTCAAAACCTTTTCTTGACTTTTTTCCCCAAGGCATTTGCATTTGGTGGAGAAAGGACTAACAATACAAACTGTGGCACTTACCGACTGATGACTCCTGAGGCTTCAGCCCACTGCTCCATAGCCTTCTTATACTCATAGTTGCGGTATAGGTGACCTCCTAGGTACGTGTAGGGGTACACGTGGTGGTTATCGTAATCATTCTCGGCTACCGCTATCGCTTCTTCGAACAACTCGATAGTTGACGGCCGACCAGGAGTTGGGTCTATACTCTCCAAATCGCCAAGGTTACCGAGGGCCATCGGATACCTGAAAGTGACCAATACGAAAACTCAGTCACATAGAGGGATCTTGATCAGAAAAAAATATTAAAAGATTTTGTAATGAGTCAGGTTTTGACTGGAATTCAAGGTGACCAAACGAAATGGTAAGATGGCCCTAACCATGCATGCTCTGCATCTCCTCAAAATGTTCTTCAAAGTAATTGGCCATTTACCAGTCTTTTGGGGAATGAGGAAAATTTTCAACTTACATATATTTATAAGACAATAAATGCCATCTAGAAGAAATGTTTACAACTCACTTTTTGAGATGGCCAAGGTCATAAAGTAACCACATCAGGTCCTAAAAAAGAGAACAAATCCAGACTCAATTCTGATTCCAATCAAAATCACTTTAGACACATTGGTTCACTTGATCAGGTATACAGTGTGAGTCCAAACAACTATACACTTTTAACATTTGCCACAGTTTTATTCTGTAGCAATAAATGTACTTTTAGAGTAACTCTTGCTGCTTCTTTTGAGGACATTTTCACTGGATTAGTTTTTCTGTGCAGTCATGCATGAAAACTAATCCAGTGAAAATGTCACCAAAAGAAGCAGCAAGAGTACATATGAAAATATCTTATCTACGTGTATATTGCTACAGAATAAAACTATGGCCAATCTTAAAAGTGTATAGTTTTTTTTTACTCGCACTGTACATTGTACATGTACATAGTACAGTTTTTGTACAGTACATGTACATTATGTACAGTAATCTGTGCGCTGCACCTTCCTCGAGGTACACACAAACCCTGACGTGCCCGTCCTTAACCACCTCCACCCATCCCCTCACAATTCACATCCCATCTCATCCCACCTTACCCTATTTCAACCCAATCCGACCCAGCTCCCCACTCCAACTTATACAATCTCCACCCTGACTTCACCCTACCCTACCATCAACCCCATCCCCAACCCATTTTGCCCCATTTTAACCCACTCCATCTCCCCATGCCCTTAACCAATCCCATCCCCACCCTCCCTTAAACACCACTCAAAACCATACCCACTACACCTTCACCCATCCCATCCCTGCTCTACTGTGAACCCTTCCCCACCCCATCCCATCCCACCAAATCCCATCAACATCCAGCTTTTCCCAACCCCCTCCCCATCCAGTTCCCGGCTACATCACCCCACACCACCCAAATCCATTCCTATCACAACTCATCCATCCACATACTTTGAATCTTATCCCAACCAATCCCACCAGATCTCATCCCCACCCACCTTTGCCCCACTTTACCCAAGCCCATCCCCACAACTCAAACACCAATTACCCCACGCCATCCCTACCCTACCCCACCTCCACCTAGCCCCACCTTGATTCTAACTCCACCTATACCCCACTCCACCCAAACCCATCCCACCGCACCTCAGATCTCATACCACTTTCATCCCAACCTTACCCCACCTCCACCCCACCCTATTCTACATGTAATAAAATTCCACCCAATCCTGCCTCAAATGACCCAACCCGCCTCCACCCAAACCCATCCCACCCTTACCCCACCTCCACCCCACCCCTCCCCTATCCTGAATGTAACTGAATTCCACCCAATCCTGCCTCAGATGACCCAACCCGCCTCCACCCAAACCCATCCCACTCTTACCCCACCTCCACCCCACCCCTCCCCTATCCTGAATGTAACTGAATTCCACCCAATCCTGCCTCAAATGACCCAACCCGCCTCCACCCAAACCCATCCCACCCTTATCCCACCTCCACCCCACCCCTCCCCTATCCTGAATGTAACTGAATTCCACCCAATCCTGCCTCAGATGACCCAACCCGCCTCCACCCAGACCCATCCCACCCTTACCCCACCTCCACCCCACCCCTTCTCTATCCTGAATGTAACTGAATGCCACCCAATCCTGCCTCAGATGACCCAATCCCGCCTCCACCCAAACCCATCCCACTCTTACCCTTTAGGTTTAATTGAAACTGAAGCAGGACACCTGCTTTTTGATCAGTATTGTCCACAATAATGTCTCCACTTTATCCACAATCCATCAACAGACCATCAGTATTTTTCGGTGTTGTGTAGGGAATCACTTACATCATAGCAAATAGATAATTTTTAATAGACTTTTTAAATGTCTGGTAATATCTTAAAATAAATAAACAAAAATTAAAAAGTAGAGTGAAAAAAATATGACTCAGTATATCAGTTACTATCACAATAAATGCACCCATATAACACAAATTATCAGACAAAGTTTCTAGTTAAACAAAAATACACTCGTTGTGCCAAACATTTCCTTTTCCGTCCAAATTCTCCATCAATTTTTAAACAGAATCATGACTCAGCTTGACTCAGTAACAGGAATGACAAATACTGCCGAGCGGGCTTCGGTTGGCATTGTGTTGGCAAAGGTTAATATATGGGGAACCATGTACACAGGGCCGCACAGACTATTGCTAGCTAATTAATCCACTGGGCTCTCTGACTCATTACGAAACGGTCTTTCAATTTGTCCACAGCTAGGGTACATTTTTGTCGAGCAGTTTTCTTCCTTTCAATTCCAAATATTGGCCGACAAATGAGGCAGCGCCGCCCCCACATCATCTGCACTTACTCGTTACTTATTCTGCAACATGAGTCAGATCTTACACCAAGAATCGATTCAGTTTCTATTCTCCAGTGACAATGACGGTGGTCAGCACTGTACATGTACATGTTTGTGACCTTTCCGCATTTGATTCCTATTCCAGAGCCGAGGTGGGTGTTAGTTCACAACACATTGGGACGGCCCGTGAACTGTAGGCTGATTGTGCATTTGAATACAATAAAATAGAAACTCCCATTTATCTTAAGTGTAAACACAAATTAATGTTCGGATTGTCTGAGTGGTAACTTCCAGGATGTTCACACTTGGCACATCTGGTTCTTTAAATCTCACCATGGCAACCATTACAATACAAAATAGGTTTTTTTGTTGATTTTTAGTTTGTTTTTTTCTGCATCTTACAACTGGGAAGGGGGAGGGGGAAGAGTTTGGAGCTTTAAAATGTGAGGATCAATGTTTCAACATTTAAAATTAGTGAAGACATTTATGATTAGAATGTACCGGTATGTAAAAAGTGTTAGCTCTTGTTCTTACTAAATCAAACAAAACATGTACAGGTCTACATGTACATTGTATTTCATTAATTAACCCTAATTTTTCATTAATTTAATCACCCCTTTGAGTGATTTCAACCCAATCTTGCAAAATCCAACACCATATAGTAAACTTACACCCAAACTGTTGGACTCTAATTAATGTGGTATGCCTGACACCATGTAACGCATAATCAGTTTACTAGTGCAGTACTCACTCCAACATATTCCAACAAAATAAACATGCAGTTGGAGTTTGAAGGGTTGGGGTGGTTAGGATTAATATTCCACACTTCCCTCAGAAAATGCTTGTGGTTTCCCGTACACACGTTGATGACAAAAGAGAAGATTTGTAAGGAACCCACAAGGAAAAATTGTATATTTGTATGTTTTGTAGAAACAATGACACTGGTGTAAAACATCTGCAAGATATCAGTCTACAAACTAATAGGACTTGCAGCCATATTAGGAAAAAATTACAAGGGGAGGGAACTCGCGCAGTAATACTTTTCCTGTTTTCCTGCCAAGTTCTGGGTTTTCAGCTATGCTGTGGTATCCTCAGAGGATAAAATTACAAGTATGGTCTGATGATTTACAATGTACCATACCGGTATTAGTCTGAGCAAACACAGATGCTCTCTGTCAAATTTTGTACAACTGTTCTTTATCTTTGTTAATGACAGCTCAAAATTGATTGTACTAGTTCCTTTTTTTTTTCTTTTCTTTTTTGGAGCACTTTTTATTTAGCACTTTCACCTTCTGGTGATTGCAATGTTTTTGTTCTGAACTACCCTTGCCGAATGCAAGAAAAACTAGAAAGCACTCAGAGAACGCAACCTCCGCCAAGGCTAAACAATTCCCCGCCATATTGTCAGTACACCCATAAGAAATACTCGCATAAATGGTGAAGAATCAACAAAAAAAAAATCCCGGATCCAGAACCAGATCCATATCACATCCAAAATCTAATCGATTTGTACTTGTACCAAGGACCACCCCTCAAAAAAATTTCATGCAAATCCGTCCACAACTCTTTGAGCTATCTTGTTAACCAACCAATAAACTAACCAAATCCGATGAAAACATAACCTCCTTGGCAGAGGTAATGACAATAATGAGATCCTACGGTACATTCCAGAGTAGAACTAGGCGGGCAATTCCATGAGAAAGTGGACGTGGCTGAGGAGTGGGAAATTTATGAAATCTTCAGAACTGCAAGCATCACTACCTCAAATGTAGTATCAAATTAAAGGGGATTGTAAAACCTTTCATTTGAGTGATGTGGCAGTGAGATGGAATATGGTTAAGTGTATTTTTTTGTCAAAAAAAAGAGGGAGGGAGAGGGATACATGTATTTGGTTAAAATTATGGATTGATGTTCTTTTTTTGTAAAGAAAGTTACCGATTAAAACGTTATTGCCTAACCCACACTGAAGTTCATTTTGTTGCCCTTTTTTTCTGTAGTTTAATCACTTAATTTCAAGGGATCTTTGATGAGAAAATCTACCCGAAATTCTTGGACTTTATAGAGTAACGTTACGTGAGTTACCGTGGAATTGCTCAGAAGCTGTTTAGAAGACTACATCCCGAGCTGTTCGGCTGACATCACTTTCACTTCCTTAGTCATATATTTTAGTGATGACATTAACAAACAGTTGATAATGTTCAACATGTATGTGCAATCAGATTAAGGTCCATATGTGTATGACACACACGTTGCATGCCACTGCATAAATACATAATTTCTTATCAATCCTTACCCTCATTCTTCCATAAGACACAATTCATGGGATGCTTTATAAAGGTAATGTCCAACATTTGCAAACATCAAAAAACAAAACTACGTGTACCAAAATTATTGTGAAATACCTTACTTGACTGTAAGTAAATAAAAGTCTCAAGCATCCTGTGAAATCATGGCACCTGGTGCGCTGTCATTTTCAAGAGAAGTGGATTTTTTTGTATCAATTTCCAACGATGGTTGGCTAACCATTTTTGGAAAAAACTGACTTTTCTTCAAATAGTGCCTCCAATTCATCAAATTTAGTTAGTCCACGTTTGTTTGCAATCCGTAACACATCCATGAACGGGTGCAAGCCAGCTACCCTGGTTCCCTGACCTGACAGTCTATAAATTGCTCCGTTTTGTTTGAAGTAGGGACAGGGCACCAGACTACAAGCAGCATTGTTTGGTGTTTCCAGCATCCGTGGTGTGAACACAAAACTTTAAACAGGTCAGTGTTACAATATTTGCTATAAAATACTACTCCCCAAATCCATCAATTTCTGAAAATTGCAGCACAAGCAACTGTTGTACCGGTACCGGTATATTACTTTTAAATTCTATCTTCTGTTTCTGATCCACAATAACAGACCTGTGCCAGTTTAGTTAAGTTCTGGTGAATTTCCTTTAATCGAAAAATGCATAGCATACTGCACATTGTCACTTTACATGTATCAGCCCTCAACCATTTCTGTGGTTGCCATAGTATTAAATGATGTGAAATAATTGTCATTCCCAGAATTGGTCAGATACACTGGTCACAATGCATTCTCTGTACTGCGAGGAAACAGACATTCCGGAACCGCCAATTACTCCGCTTTTTTCACCTTCCCAAAAATTAATTTGTTAAATTGAGGTCAAGTTTTTCTGTGTGCAGTGAAGCAAGCATCAAGATAGACCGGTGCCCAATTCTATGGCTCTGCTGACCACAGAATTCCGTGCTTACTATAACCATGCTGTACTAACAACACTAGCCAAAAAAAACCTCTGCGCTAAGGCCAAAAAAAAAATATTCGGTCTCTGGTCAGACCAAAGTTCCGGAATTGATGCGGCGACGCGGCTTCTTTTTTTCTTTTTCTTTTTTTAAAGGATTGTCCAGACAAGGTGGGTACTAATTTGCTTTTGTTGTGTCCTCATATACATTACATTGGGAACCTCCATAATTTGCCTTGGTGCCCTCCATCATTTGCCTTGGTGCAATTTCCCCATTCCTTGGTACAAAAATTTGAGGAGGTGCGGCAATAGAGGGCACTGCTGTAGCTACCGCGGACAATTTGAAGAAAAAAAAAGGTTGACACGCATGATTAAAATCGACGTGCGCGCTGACCAGAGACCGACTTATTTTTTTTTTGGCCTACCGGTAAGCACAGAATCCTTAGTTATAGGGTGTACGCATGCACATTAGCCAAAAATGCTAGCTAGCTTGAGAAATGTGCTTACTGTAAGCACAGAAATCTTCTGCTAAAAGTAACAGGGGATTTTTTTTTGCTACAGGCACATGTTAGCAGAGCTATGAAATTGGGCCCAGCTTGCCGTCCACTAATAGCACGCATTAAAGGGAATATACATGTACATCATTTGCTTTTGCTGTAATTTTCAGAAATGGATGGAATTGGGGGGTTGGAAATATATAGCAAATATAGTTACACTGACTTTTTTGAGGTTTTGGGTTCAAAAATGCTATAAAAACCAAGAAAAACAATCATTTTCCTGTAGTCTGGTTCCCTGACTCCATTTAAGAAGAAACAGAGCAGTTTACATACATTGGGGAATTGTAAGGCCAGGGAACCAGTCTAGCTGGCTTGTACCCGTTCATAGGTGTGTAATCGATTGCAAACAAGTGTGATGGTCAATTGGGGCCAGTATTTGAAAAAATTGGAAATTGATACAAAAATACCACTTTTCTTGAAAATGACAGCATACCAGGTGCCATGATTTTACAGGATGCTTTACACTGTCATTCACTAACAGTCCAGCAAGGTATTTCAAAATGATATGGTAGTTTTATTTTTTGATGTTTGCAAATGTTGTATTTTCCCTTTAACAATCTGTATCTGTAAACTCTCACTGATACTTACTGCACAGTGCATATTATTTGGACATGTCCCCTTTTATTACCTGCTGAAGCGACGCAAGCTCTATGCTGTCCAGTGAAGAGCTCACAGAGGGGTTGACAGCAGAGACTAGAGCAGCCACCTCCATCCTTCTATCGCAGACTACCGGGTGATCATTGAGATACAACCAACTTCCTTCTGCTACACCTGTAGGAACCAACCACATTGGACACTTGTCACCCGAAAGCCATTAGCCTGATTGCCCGACTTTCAAACATATATGTACTGGTATGTAATATGCATTCATGGACCAAGTTCACTGACTTCAATCAAGAACTGACTCCGTAAATGAACAGCAGAGGGCGCTCTGCAGAGCCCTAATTGGAGGGACGCACCACGTGCAGGCACTGGTTCAGGGCCCAATTTCATGGCCCTGCTAACCACAGAATTCCGCGCTTATGATTTTTTGCAAACAGCGCTTGCAGAAAAATTCGATGCTAACCCTGTAAGTACAGAGTCCTTAGTTGCGGGATGTACGTATGCGCAGAAGCCAAAATTCCTCGCTAAGCAGTGAAATACGCTTACAGTAAGCATGGAAATTTCTGCTACAGTAAGCAGGGATTTCTCGAAAGTGGCGCTATTTTGCCATGTTGTGGAGGGATCATTTTTCACGATGGCTACTTTTCCGCTTTGGGGAAAATAGGGATCGTCTTCTTTGGGTGAGAATATATATCTCGAAAAGTCAATAGTCAACCCACCAAAAAATGAAAAGAAAATGAAAGATGACATGTTGATCATCATTTTTCTGTGCAGCTTAAAAATACCTGTGAGAGTTCTGAGTATTTTTAAAGAATTTTGAAGTATGGGCATTTAGCACTAGTGTCTATGGGAATTTTAATTCAGGGTTGCACCCCTACGAACTCGACACAATGGTTCCTCCAAAATCAACCCACAAATTTTTTTGCCATTGAGCCTCAAACCTCCAAAACCGCCTGGAGGATTTCGGAGGATTGTGGAGGGTTAGGGTTAACGCCTGACAACTCATGTCAGTATCCATGACTTAAATTATATGCGGCCCATGTGTACATATCAATTCAGACACGATGTGCCTGTAATATGAAACATTTTCTCTGACAGACGAGCAATTATACATGTACTGTTCATGTTGTTATGGCTCACGATGCATGTACCGGTACGTATGCAGCTGAGGACTAGGAAACACAGTATGCGTTGTCAAGAATGCAACAGTCCAAAATCCTTGAGGAAATATAATGCAGTCACACAAACATGTTTACATTCACTAGCTAGGCCCTCTGAACGTGCCAAACCCTAAATGGAACAGAAAGGTCATCAAAAAATGTTGTTAAAATGGTTACTGTTTGGAAGGAAACTATAAAATCCTCTTAATTAAAATCAGTCGCGACTGGATGTGAAATGCTGCCTGTAATTTATGAACTTACTGCAGATGTAGAAAAACGGAAAATGTCAGCCCGATGGGATCATTATACAGTCATTGTGTGTTGGCCATTTTTGGAAACATAGCAAAAAACTTAGAAAGACCGTTCGCCTTTGTTATGGCCAATGTTGGTGGCAAACTGTCGGTCCACTTGCGTACACATTTCCAAGTTGGCTAATTTGTTTGCGCGAGTGGAACGCACCCCAGGTATGGCCTGAAGGTCCAAGGAAGTTGAACTACTGCTACTAGTACCCAGTGACATAAGAGCAGTGGTATGGGAAAAAAAACCTTGTGTTTTCTGACATGTATGATAAAGTAAACTCTAAACCCTGTCATCATATTGCTAGGAACATACCGGTACCTGGACCTACCAAAACCCAACACTGCACTAATCCAATGGCACATTATTTGCTTTTGTCCTTCTTTCCAAGTGGTTTTGGTGGATTTTGCAGAATTGAGGAAGATGGCGCTGGCCACTGTTGTAGTCCGGTCACTTCAGTCGAGTCCTAGTTCGAGTCTCCAGTCACTTGGGTTGAGACCCAGTCCGAGTCTTGAGAGTCACTTGATTTTTTAGTCGAGTCAGTTGGGTCAAGTCTGAGTCCCAGTCACGAGTGCATGGACAAGCACACACACACCTATTGTCCCTCTTTTGTTTGTACTCTAACTTTTTAGGAAGACTCCCATAGGTTTTGTACACGACCCCAGTCGCAGATGTATGCTGGGAATCGTGGACTCTGGAATTTTTCGTCCACGGTTTGAATAGATGAACACGCCCACGCATGTAGGCGATATTTGATGCACAGTCGTGGGAAATAGGGAGGGGCGCATTTAGTAAGAAACATTATTTGCAACACCACTTTGAGCGTGGTGCAGTACAATAATGGTTGCTTAAACGTTCCTGTTTGCACAATCAGAACGTTTTTAAAGGAGGTGGGTTTTTTTTTGGGGGGGGGGGGGGGAATATACATGACTCCCAAGTCACTAGCGTCAAGTCTGAGTAACAATGGAGGAGCCCAAGACCCAGTCCGAGTCTTTTGCTGATGAGACTTGAGTCGAGTCTGAGTGATCAAAATTGTGACTTAGACTCGAGTCCGGTGGACTCAGTGGACTTGAGTCCCACCACACTGTCACTGCCTACAACCCAGTGGTTGAGAACCACTAGTATAAACTCCGTTATAAGAAGATTAGTGTTAAGTACACCACATGTGCTGCGTGCACCACAGACTAGAAATGCCCGTTCATGTATCCATGAACAGCGGTAAAAATACATTAGTTACAATGGTACAACAAAATCGTTGGAAGTGATGTTTAAATGTGATGTTTCAAACCCGTAGGGACCTGGTTGCCGATAGTTATCCTTGCCTTCGGCTCGGGCCATAATTGGCAGCTAACCCCTGACCGGTTTTAAATTACATCTATAACGGCATATTTTTATCTGCTTTAATTAAGCCGAAATGGCAGCATCGAGCTGTATACTCCCCAGGGAGCTGAGATGGTATTTGGAATGTTTCATTGGCCAATAAGCAGGGTAATAATGATGTAGTGCCTTGAGCACCAATACTGGTAGATACATGCAGTTTATAAATACGCATTATTATCATCCCTTTATTATTTGACATTTGATGTCAAACCCATTAAAAAAAAGTCCCCATGATTGTCATACCCAGCTTTATTGACTGTCCCCTCTTGTCCTCATTTCCCTTGCCGTGCCATGTGACCTCAGCCGTGTCCGTGCCATCCTCTCCGAACACCACCCACGCGTGGTCCTCCGACAGCGCCAGATGAACATCCTCGTAGCCAAGAATCTGACATGCTGCTACCACGGCAACAGCTACACCGAAACAGTCCAACTTGTTTCCTGGCAATGGGGAAGACACATGGAGAAAGACGGAATGGTATTTTATCAAACATCTGGAAAATATCAAGAAGATACGGTACATCGTTGTACATTATCCACAATGGCTCGAAATAATGATCACGACACAAATGCTACAAACAAAATTCAGAATTTTCAATCTTTAAAATAACCATTTTCAGTAATAACAGTCGCATGTATGCATATTGTCGTAAATGTTTCCCTACAATATTGGGGGAACAAATTTTGCAAAGAGAGCAACATAACAGTTTGGTTTTAAAAACAGTATATTATCCCTCCTAGTGGGAAGTCAATATTCAGAGCAACATATAAAACCCTTTAAAACCCTTCAGGTCAGTTTCAGGTGAAGGGATATGAAGTGTTAAAGTAACTGTGTCATATAGAGAGTCACTGCACACAAATACAGTACTGTGGAGAGCAGTGAAGTGTGGCTGAATCTGCCTGCTTGCCCCGAGCTTAACTACAAAAAAAGGGATTTAAAGTGCTATCCATAATTCACACAAGATTACCTCAAAGGAAATTGAAGTGTGGGGGGTAAAGCCCGCCGCACACCTTTCCGATTTTACTGGTTTACTGGATCATCTGGCCATCATACAGAGGTGTGCGCTGAACATTCTGACCGATCTGACCGTACACCGGGTGACCGGATGAAATCAAACATGTCTGATTTTTTGGCATCCATTTTCACCAGATCTGATGTCACCCGAAAGGTGTGCGGGCAGCACAACGATTTCATCGGACACGATATTTATGTTAACCAATCAGATTCAAGAAGGCAGTCACATGATTCAAAATTGACAGCTGCCATTTTCTCATCGTGTGTTTGGTCATCATGTGACCGATCGTCATGTGACCGATTATAGAACTGAATCAGGCATGTGATGTGGTGATCCAGTAAAATTGGAAAGGTGTGGGCTTAAAGTTCCCTTTAAAAAATAAGCAAAGCGGTTTTGAAAAAAAAAATCGAAGTATTGTGAAGTGCAGAACATTTGGAAGGTTAAAGTTTAGCTTTGTCTTTAATAAATGACGTCATGCCAGCCAGAACAATTTTACAAGGTCCCTTGCATCAGTCCTCCCTCAAAGTACAGCTTTTTCAATCCATGTACCAGTAGATGTACATTGTAGCTTTATTTTCAGGAGCAGAACTTATGAAACCAACAGAGGGCAAAAGGAACTGGTTTTTGGTCTGTCTTGTCTTTCATAGCATTGAACTCTTGAAAATGTTCCTACTTTTCCAAAAAGGGCCGATGCCCGATAGGTTACAAAGAGCCAAGTTGATAAATGAGAAATCATCATGTAGCAAATTCTCCCAGCAGAATCGCAGTTGATTGTGTGCTGAATGCATTCATGCAATGATCACAAATTTGTCATTATGTTTACTAAATGTATCAATCAGGTGTACCATTCAGCAGGTGCATAAAGGTCTCCAATTGTGAATAGGTAATGCATACATGTACATGTACATGTACCGGGTACGTGCACATGTACATGTATACCCGGTACTATACGTGTAGAACAGTTTTATGTCAACATTTAGGTATTTTGCAATAGTTTCTCAGAAAAGCCACTTTATTCAACTGTACTATCCTTAAACCCATTAACAATTTACAGGATACTGCAAAAAGGGATTTTCCCACGGTACTCTTTCAACGGCATTCTTGCCATGTACTATGTGTAAATTGTATTTACAGACGGTATTAGCAGACGGAGAAAAAACTCCAAAGAAGTGCTCAAGGGAAGGTCAAACTTAAACCTGTCTATTTGGTTGCCGGGTTGAGGTTCCAACGAGAGCGGTTGAGGAACCTCAGCATGTTCTTGACACTGATGTCACCAACCTCAAAGTTTCAACATATTCCAAAATACACCATGCACTGCAAAAGGCGTTTCAAACATTTATTTGTACAATTCAGGGACATGTGCTCCCGGGAAAATACACCGTACTTGTTTATTCATCTATGACTTTTGGTACAGTACGTACAACAATTGAAGACCTTCTGACTGTTCAATTCGCTCAACCCTCCTGCTATTTAAACAGTCACAGACAGTCAAAATTTCAATCCACTTCCCCTGCTGTACTTTTTACACAGGCTAGTCACCAGCAGTCAGATCATATGTCAAGCAAGCACTGTGACTAGTCAAACTCAGTCAACAGACCATGAACAGACAAAGCAGGCAAGTTGTGGTCACAGCTGTTTTGTCACTCACCCGGAGTCAAAGCATAGCTGCTCCAAGTTACCGGTACTTAAACAGCCCCAGCCACTCAATTCTGCTTGGTGTAGGCTGGGAATTCTGAATTTTTGAAAACAGTCACTTGATTGATTTTGACTCAAAGGACAACTTGGCACAGAATGTATGTTTTGCATAGGAGGGTTAAATGGCATCCCTTTCTATTTTTTTGGTTATTCTCATTACCGACCAACCCTACCGGTATTTTGGGCTCCTGACCCAAGAAAAAACTTTTTTTTTCATCACCGCCAACCCTGTCTGGAACCCCATTAATTAATTAACAAAAATACAAACAAAACAAAACAAAACAAACAAAATTCAGTCAATCAGGCTCTGTGTTATTTGAAAAGCTATTGAAAATGAATACCAGATTTATACGCGAAGTACGGTGTATAGCAACCAGTGGAATCCCAGAAGATGAGAGGATGTTGCCGCTCATGTCTATTACTGGTATGTCATGGCTGCCAATACAGCAAAAATTAGAGAGATGTACATGTATGTGCAGATATAATGTATTCAACTACATCTTGCCAAATATGGTTTTATTATTTTATTCAGTGGTATCAACTAATAATAATTTCATTGCACAAACAAACTTAGAAACAGTATGTACATGTACTTGGTATCATTTACAATGTAACTTACCATCTACATATGTGCAACTGCAATATTTTTTATGAGAATATAAAAAAAATATGAGAACCATATCAATAAAAAGCCCTAATCTCCCCTTAAGCATATTGAGCATAATGATGCATTGCATGGACTCTAATAGGGAAGTTCCCATGTGCGTTTCTACAAGTGTCGTAATCACAAACAATGCACAGGGTCCACGCGTAAACAGTTTGAAGCCTAATTGAATTCACACGATTTCAAAACACCTCCAAGCATACACCACATTGCTTAATGACACCGCCATAGGATATACTGTGTTGCTTTTCTGGTACGCTGTAGTACATTCTTATGTGAAAAAGTGTATAGGTTTTACTACACTGCAAGACGGAACATATGAGTGAATGTCACCACATGTGCGCTAGTATACATTACACGTCAGGGATTGGGATACCACATTCCAAATAACATGAATTTGAAGATCTCCGACGTGAGTTGATACAATGGAGGGAGGTTTAGAGGGAAATTTTGGAGGGTACATGTATAAAACTGACAAAACGATGGGCTTTTTGGACTAGTTGTCATTTCAAAATCATAATTCTAATTATCTTGGGTAAAGATGAGATCTGTTTTATATTTTGGATAAAACTAAATAATCATTCTTTAGTTTGCTTTTAAAAGATACATGTATCATCATCTACGTACATATTATATAGCCAATTACAGTACGTCCTGTGAAATATAACTATGAACAAAGTATCAAAGACTGCAGAAAATAAAACAGAAAATTTACTTTTCCAAATAAAAATAGATGGGAATACTATCAAAATGTAAGGACATTCATATGCATTAGAAAAAAATGTTGTAACCTGGACCAAATCTTTTTTAGGAAAGATGGTGGTGTACGCAGTACCTCCCTACATTGCGACGTCGCTTAAAAAAAAAGGGGGGGGTTCTTTATTTTTTGGGGGGGGGGGAGCATGGCCCCGTTGGGAGCAGATTTCTGGATTCACAATTTTAACAGAAAACACATAAACTGAACAGTGTCTTCCATCACAGCAACAGCACCCTCAGTTGTCCGGAAAAGCATGGCAAATTTTAAATGTCAAAAGACGTGCAATTTTCAATAAAATCAACCAAGAAGGGATGTCAAATAGTTTTCACATGTAAGAGGAGTAGAAACTTTCACAAAATATGTTCCTAAGAGAAATTCATTGCATGGACCCTGGAGCCGGATGGGAATTTCCCCGTGTTTTCTCCCAAAAGGGGTTTTTCGCGGGGTTTTCACCTCTCCCCTAGTCAGCGAATATAATTACATGTAGGCCTACAGCCATATCTTATTCTTGATGTTACAAGATAGATCCACATTTTTCGTGTTCAATGAATCCACCTTATCCTTCACACTGTTCACGTAGTTATAATAGTTTTAAAATATATTGTATTTACAATATTTGCTTAACAACTATGCATTAATCAAATAATGTTTTATCCCATTGTATTGAGTTGTATTGTATTTGTAATGTATTATACATGTTTGTAGTCAATGTTTCATCATTTATTGTATGCAGGGCCCCAATGGAAACCAGTTTTAAACTGTTTGGGCATACCCTGGGTAAATAAATGTAGTAAGTAAAATAAATAAATAAATAAGTTGGAAAGGCAAACCCTAAGGGTAATTTCCTGAGAAATTGGACATGGCTGAAAAACATCACAACTTCAAATGTGGTATCAAATTAAGGGTAACAACAAGAACTTTCATTTGAGTTGTGTGCCAGTGAGAGGTGGTTAAGTTTTTTTGTCCCAAAAAAATTTTGGGGCTAAAATTATGGATTTTAGGTAGTCATCTTGGCACTTTGTTTTGAGTGCTAATGTGAGTTTTTGGTTTTGAGGCAGAAAGAAAGGTTCATATTTTATGCCATAACAGGTTTTTTTTATGAAGTTAAGAAGATTTTTCCAAAGGTTCACAGTATGAAGAAACTAGTTACTGACAAACCAACAGAAGCTTATTTTATTTGCCTTCTTGGGGGTGATTTAGTCACTTACTTTCAAGGGAGCTTCTGTGAGAAAAACCCACTCTACATTTTTATAAATTTGACTTTATAGAATAACAGCACAAAGTTGATCGAAGACCCCTTCTAACTGTA